TTTTTTTGAAGGCGAAGGATTTTGTGTTGCACTGGCGATTGATGCACATTGATGACACTTCGCTGCAACCGTTCACGACAGACCCCCTTGAAGCTGAGCGCTCAGCATGCAGCAGGCGGAGTGTGTCATTAGGGTTGTAATAATGACAGTGGGTGTGCTTATGTCAGAATGGCCTTCTCGTTCAAGACCCACATGCCCCCTTCCACAATCTGATTACAACCGCTGCATAATAAAGAGGCCTGTAATGGTGACTTCATGTTCAGCGCTTTGCTCAGCTAGCATATGTTTTAGCTATGAGAACTCAAAACTACCATCTGTAACAGTATATGTTGACATAGGTTATGCAATGTTAATATGAATGGCAGCTGAAGAAAGTGTTGTCATCATGATAGTCTGAAGCAAGGAGGTTTAAAACGAAGCCAGACGTTTCCAATCATTTGAATGGCAGTTGCTTGGCGAGTGCAGGACTTACCATAACCATGCGATATCACTGATAAAAATTTGTATTAAAATGAAATAGTTAAGTACTGCTTGCAAAAATGTTACTGTCTAGTTATCTACTGACAGAGGTGCTAATGAATATATGGTAACCTATAAAAATATATAGATATAGACTAATTTTTATTATTATTTTAACGATGTACTAAAATAACAAACTAAAATAAAAATTAAAACAATTTGAAAAATATAAAAAAACAAAAATTACTAAAAATTATTTAAAAAACAACAAAATTACTACAAGTTTTTATAAAATAAAATCTGATTCAAATATAAAATCTATATTCTATAAAAAAATATATATTCTAAACTCTCTTTCTATATATATATATATATATATATATATATACACTTGTCCCATTGTTTTTTAAAAACTATTTAACATAACATATTTTAATATTATACTGTATATTTAAATATTAAAAATTTTTATATAGGCTATATAGGGCTTAACACTTCTATGTTTAATAACATGACATGCCATCTTTAATAACATTAATTTTTGTAAATACATTTGAATAAAAAAAATACACAGTCTATCTCTGGCTAAGCATAAATGTTTTTTGTTTTTTTTACCTCTTCTTTTAAATATGCATCATACTGTGTGCTTAAAAGATTCACACAAAAGTGCTTAAAAGATTTCTAAAAAAAACATCCCATCAAGTTTTAAACACATAAACACAAATTTTCCACATTGAAATGAGCCGTCATCTGCTAATCACGCTGATCTTTGCTCTGACAGCCTCCACATCATTCTCAGTCTGCTGAGGGAATTAATTCAGTAAAGATTAATTTGTGAGGCAGCACGACATTTCGATCAGAGCTCTGAATATCCACAGTTGCTCTCGCTCCTTGTCCCTGGCTTGTAATTGCTCCGAATAATGCTTAAAATAACATCACCTTGGTATCTAAGCGCTGTGGATGACCTTTTCCAGACTGTGTAGTGCTGTGACATAGTCATTTTCCAGCCCTTAATGTACTCAGAGAGTACTCTATTCGGAGGGAACGTTCACGGGGTGCTAATCTCTACCTCTCAACACCTTGTTCCACACATAGTCATTAGGAGAGGGGGGGTCTTAAAAGGGTTCCTGACACACTGGAGTTAGACATGTTAATAACTCTCATTTCAGACATTGTGGGAAATACTGTATCGAAGATGACAGTGTAAAATGTAATGTGATTTTCTGTTCTTGAAGGTTTGTAGAGGTTCGGCCTTACATTAAGAAGGTTCTCTCTGTTAAATAAAGCAGACATGACAGCAATGGGAGTGTTTTTAAGGTATTATGTAATTGTTGCCTTGTAAGATGTAAGAAAAATAGATTACATCAATGCTATGCACCAATGTTATTAGGACATGTCACTCAATCAAGTTGGAAACATAACACAGAAGAAATAAAACGCTAAATAATTATGTTGTGAACAATAAACCCAAATAACTGAATTCAAAATAACTGAATTCAAAATGATGAAAATTACACAGTTCTATCACAAATATATGCACGGTATTGTGAAGCAAAAAGCTGTGTTTGTAAGAAACAAATCCACCGCTTCCGGCCAAAATGTGATTCCATAATCATAATCAAACACTGAAACTTGAGTGATAAGTTTACTTGCTATGTTCCATACATCTTGTCTGTAAAATGACTGAAATACAGCATGTAAAATCTGAAAACAATTTGCAAAATCATTTCCATTCACTACAGCTTTCCACTTACTGATGTCTATATGCAGATTATATAAGTCATACCCTTTCAAGACTCCATACATTATAGATCAATGTTTTCAAAATGTTTCTACAATGTTTATGTGCCCACTTGTAAATACAAATCTGCTTGGTCATTCATGTGCTTG